AAGTCCGGTGTCTGCTCGACCAGCAAGCATGCATGGCATGGCATCGAACTCCTGCAGCCGCAGTGGGTGTCGGTGGTGATGGATGCCAGCACAATGGACAATGGTGGCCGGCGGCTAGTAGCTTCTGGTCTTCAGATCCACACCTGAGCCACCTCGATCGTGAGGTGCTTTTATTTAGGTTATTAAGACTTGCTTTAAATAGGAGGGAACATATCCTGGCCCTATGTCTTATCAGCTTGGGGTGGACTGGGACCAGGACCACAGTTTCTCCTCGATCAGGACACGGTCAAAAGGCCCTATGTCTTATCCAAAATAAGCAGAGATCAACTCTAACAATGATTATCCTCGTTCAGGTTTGGGTCCTTGCTCGTCTGCTTGTGCTTCTTGCTCGTCTGCTTGTGCTATAGGGAGGTCTCCTCCATCGTGTCTATCTCTTTTGGTGTAAGCGGCAGGGGTGGAGAGCTTCTTAGTGTGTGGCGAGGTATGACGGTTGCCATACATCGATTTTGCAGGAATACGTACCCCTACTCTAATCTTCTAGGCTTGTGATTCCACGAGTGGCTGGGCGGTGGGCAACATGGCTGCTCTGCAGATGCGATCAGAGAAGAGGCAAGGAAGAAGAGGACTTCCTGGTGAATCGTTATTGCCCTTTATTTGGGCTGCTAATACTTCTTCCGGGCCACTCATTTTGTTTGCTTAATGGGCCAGACAGCAAGCTAGCATTCAGCTCATAGCAGCTCTTCCCAGTCCGTCTAATAACCATATGCCGTTCTGCACCGATCAAGAGCATGTTTGTTACATTCCCACTCGATTCGCACTTTATTTGGCACTGATAGACTCAATTGGAGTTTACAGGAAGTAGTGGAGATATATGATGGGAAGATCAGGACCAGGTTGGGAGGAGACAGGGGGGAGGGAAAGACGGTTACAGTTCTGTTCTTCCTTAACTAATTCTCCATTACAAGGCGCATATATACACCGAGTTAGGCACGCAAGCCCAGTACCATTTGGGACACCGCTTCCTGGGCTTCACATTCAGCCACTAGCTCCCGCGGCTTGAATCTTGCGTTCGCGCGCCCGTTCCCTCCTTACCAGCTGCTTCCTCAGCCTTCTCTGTCCCGTGACAATGTTGCAGCTTCTTTCCATCTTACTTTTTTCCATTCAATAATATCTTTTGTTTCTCTTAATTAAACCTTTAACAGAATAGGCTCTGACAAAAAAAAACACTTACTTTCAAGAAAGATCATACATTTACCTTTGCTTCTATACCCTCAACAAAAATAAAAGATAAAAAGGTTTTAAAGAGAAGGTAAAAGCACACAAAGGCACAAATCAATCTGTTTATTTGCTTTCTTTTTCCATGAATGTATGACAATTTAGGAGTTGATGCAATGTTGAATATATAACTCACTCTGTTATATGTAAATTTGTGAAATTACTATACCAAGAATATATTTCCACAGACAAATCCAGTTATTTTATTTTTATGTGATCAAGTCAATGGTCAAAAGTTTCCTTGCAAAGAGAAAGTTAGAGAGTATGTTTTCAGTACAAGTATTTATGAGGAGGTAGGCACAACAACACATGAAACCATTGTGTCATGTGCCCATGTGTCAGTGTCAGCGACATGATCAACTTTGCAATATCTTAATTTTATTTCGTCCTCTGCCACTGGTAAGCGGTGGATTAAGTATGGTTATGTTACCACCCTAAGGGGGAAGATTGTAATCTGAAGTTGTATCTGTTTTTCTCTTTCTTCTAGCTACTAATATAAATTCAGCTATTCTCTTTCTGTCCGGTAGAAAAAAATCAAGGAGTATATAATCAAGTCTGGCCTCTTATATAACCAAGGAGGATAGAATCAAGACTTTTGATGGGTCCTTCGGTATTGAGTTAATTGCCGCTGTTAACAAGACACCTACCAGAATCAAAGTCTAGCTAAAGCGATGCACTGACCTGATAATTGTATCTTCTCCCCCTGATTCCTACTTCAGTTGTTTCGTTGATTCATACATGTTAGTACGTAGTTTTCAGGCTTCAGACACAGCAAGACCTTTCATGCTTGCTAGCACCTCCTGGTTGTCAGCTGCTAGGACTGAGAAGCGCACTCGTCGACGGCAGCGAGATTGCACTGCCGGACTGCCTGGTGCGTGAAGCTTGGAAAGAGCAACCTCTAAACCACATAGATGTCCCACACCCTGATGAATGGCGCGCTTGCGGTTTAATCTTCAGCAAGCATGTGGTGCTCTTGTAGCCCTGAATGACACTTCCCGTGATGCCTCCTACTCCCAAACATATACAAACTTTTTGTCACTCATCACAATTTTCTGCACTGGATAAACTTATCATACAACATGACTCTCTCCACCAGCCAACAGCCACGCCTCTATATATATTCATGTGGCTAAAGAAATGGTGTGTGGACTGACGACGACGGTGTTTTGCCTCTTTATATATATGTACCAACGTTTATATGCCACCTCGCTCCTCTCTTGTGCACATACATGTAGGTCATCAGGTATATACACACATACATGCCTGTACTCGTTACTCATGTGCGAATCTCTCCAGTCATACTTTGTGTAGATAAGCAATGTGATCTCTCCAGTTATTTGTTACAACCATACACATTATAGTCTAACTTTCTCTAAAGCACACAACCCAAGAAGGCACGACCCGGTAAGGCTGATGGGTCGTGTTGTGCCGCCCAATTAGCTTACCCCCACAATCCAAGCACGGGATGGCACGACAAAGCCTGTGCCGCCCATCATAGCATATGTTCATCCTAGACAATAAAATTCACAACAAAAATTCGAGTCATCACGGCGTATGATGAGTATGTAATTTTCAGTCAGCTGTTACATGACAGAAATAGCAACTGTGATCAAATAGACACATGGACTTTCATTTGGGGTGCTCTATATGCTTCAGGAAAATTTTATAAACACCATTTCAGACAACTCACTCCCTCGAGGCCTTTGCAATGGATTTGGAAATAGAAATGTGTGCCTAAAATCAAATTCTTCTCATGGCTGGTGCTTAATGATCGGCTCAATACACGGAACATGTTGAGAAGAAGGCACAAACACCTTGATGATGGCTACAACTGCGCTCTCTTCATCCACCTTCCGTTTCTCCGTTCGTGCCTTCTGTTCCTCTCACCCGCCTTTCTCTGTCCGTGCATCTCGCCCTGCCCCGTCGCGGCGACTCCGTCTCCGCCCCCAACGCCTCTGCCCCGCCCCACCCCGGTGACTCTGCCTGCCCAGCAATTCCGCCTCGACGAGTGCCGTCTGTGGTCCGCGCTCTCGGCACAAGCAACGACAAAGGGGTGTTTCAGGGCTGCCCACAAGCAACGACGGAGCTGGGTTTTTTCAGCTCCTGCAGCTCCCCCAGTCTCTCTCAGCACGATTTCAGGGGCGCTCTGTCCATCAAGTTTTCTGTCGTGGGCCGTGTGGTAGTGCTGTGCGTGAGATCGAGAGCTGCTAAAGATGTGCTATCATGCGGTGCCTCTTTTTGTATGTTAAAGAAAAAACAATTAAAAAATAAACTAATTTATGTCAACACTGGAATTAAAGGATCTTTTCATTGATCGCCAAGTACCAAGTGTTCTAACGGGACACCACAAGGACAATGTGTTGTAGTGTAAAACTAAGAACTAAACATACTATCATTACATATAAATGAAATAAAGATCATTGCTTTTCTAATAAAGTTAAATAAAATGACCATGCGTTAAATTATTTACAAATTCAATGTTGCGAATTGCAAAGGAGAAATAAAGCCTTGAGTGACATGTACTGGCCTTCAAGATCGAGTTCTACACCATTGAAAATTGCGAGGCAACAATGTGTCAAGTGAAAGAGAGATGCGGGTGTGAATCAGCACGTGAAGCCAGTCTCATATTTTAACGGGAACGTCGCCAATTATATTGCGCCTATCATAGTGTTTGGTTTGGCATTTAATGCAAAAGAATTACCCTGTTCGTTTGGGCTTGTTTGGTTTGTTTTGGCTTGTTTTCAGCCAACGAACAGTATTTTTCTCTCACACCAAATCAGCCAACAGTACTTTCAGCCATGGTTTATAAGCCAAATACGACTAAGCTGGCTATGATTGGTTCAGCTTGGTCCGTAATCCATTACCTATAATTCCATTGAAAGTTGATACCGCTGCCGTTAGCGCTGCTTTCCATTTCCCTTTGCATTTGCGTTAACACAGGTTTAACCAAACAGCACGTATAGCATATCTCGGCTGGAGCATCAACTAGATATCCAAGTATGGCAGCAACATAGCATTCTAAGAAGGTGCCCCCGTCACCGTGTGCAGCTCCAGGACCAGAAGAGCCAGCTCACTTATATCTAGGTTGCCCCACAGGACGGCCACAAAAACCATGTGAAGCTCTTGAACCTCTGAATAAAACTTTCCTTAATGCCTCCCAGTCCTAAACATCCGTAGACTTTGACAGTTACTGTTATGCATAATCTCGATCTGGCCACAACTATGCACGCTCTGTCTATATATATTGATGTGTGTGGCAACCATATGGGAAAATTGGTTGCGTAGCATCGAAAGATTGTGATCTCCATAAAATACCACTGAAAGGTTGGACTATGAACTGAAAATACCATTCTGTTAAAATGAAGTCACGGAGCTGTTAACTTGGACACAGATACCCTAGTGAGAACCAAATAAACAGCAGTATGTGCCCCAACATTTAAACATAAATGAACACATATATTTCAGTACCAATATGAACACATTCCCGCACATATATTTTGGCACATATGAAGACATTTAATATAGGAATCCCTTTAATATAAGCACACATGAACACGTACATTCACAACAGCCACTTCTCAACAATCATTTCTCAATAGAGTACTAGTTAAGATAGCAAAGGGGACAGGTCTGCTAACACATACAGTAGTTCAACACATGCATCCATAGTCTAACTAGATCATAACAGTAGTACAACACATCATTTGCACTAACAAAGCCATTGCTTAGCCTACGATAAGCCTTCTTGTAATTTCTCCTGGGGATATGTCTGCTACTGCCCTGCTCCTTGTTGTAGGTCCTGGACTAAGAGGACTAGTGGAAGCTGCCATCCTTCTTGTTGTTGGCCCTGGACTAACAGGTGGTTGTGTGACTAAAGAAGTAGAAGGTGCAGATACTTTCTTGGATTTTTTTGGAGCTTTTTTGTAGCTAGATGTACTGCCCTTTTCTTTCCTTTTCCTACACATCAGGAAGGTATCAGCCATATTTAATAAAAGATCATGTTATAGCAATCAATTTACCTTGAATTCGTAGGAGCTGCCGGTGGCAATTCAACAGCGAGTTCAGTAGGCGACTCACTACAACCCTTCTCAATATGCCCAAGCTGGAAGAATCTTTTGCATTGGTAAGGACCCCTTTTCCCTGGCTCACCCTTACTTTTGATCCTCTTCACTCTTGGCCTACCTGCAGACCTTTCAAGCTTCGGAGGCACCATTATAAACCCGAGATCAATAATAGACTATTGCTGCAGCTAGCTATCCATTATATTTACCTGTGAGGTGAGTAGAATCAACCCCAAGGTATGGCCTGCAACCAGTAAGAAATCCATTCACACATGCTTTGATGGCCACAAACATCCTACAGAAATAGACTCGACAACCTTTTTGTTTTTCTTGCAATCAATCTCTACTATGCTTCCAGGACATGTAGCTTCTAACTTAGCTTTGAAACTCCATAACATTCTAAAACTTTCGTCCCATGTGCCATGTAGGCCTTTTAGTGCAAGTTGCATTCCTTCCCACACCTTATTATATGACATTTTGATCGGGAACTGTCTTTCAAGCTCAACTTGCAACTTCTTTGCTCCCTACTTGTTAAAAATATTTGAAATTTTTAGGGACAGTTTTTTTGGGAAAACATATTTTTATGCAAGTTTATAGAATTTCATAACAGAGTTTGGATATTATTATGATTATTTTGTGGTAATTCCACAAAATAATTCCAGTAATAACTAAATTTGGTTAGAAAAATCTACAAATTGACACAACAACATATTTGGGTCCATAATCATTCCATAAAAAGTTGAGATATTTTGAACAAAGTGAAACTATACTTCATTCATAAATAGATATATCTCTCACACAAATTTATGTAACTATGTGGGAGACGTATCATTTGTGAACAATGTATAGTACCGCTTTTGTTAACTGTAGGGCTCACTCTTGACCTCCCACCCTTGCTAGAGGCTAGGTGGGTGGATGACAAGGGTTTCCCACAGATGAAAGGTCTCGCCCAAGTGGGCACGAACGGCTACGTGTTGGTAGACGAAATTAATTTCGAAGTAAATGTCCTTTAATTCCTAAAAAACAAGATCAGAACCGTTCCACCCAGTGGGTATTTATAGAGTATACCCGTACAAAAGGGTTGACAAGACGTTTTGACAACTGAGCAAGTGGTCAGGGGCATGTTGGTAACTCCCCGCCTCCTGGCCAACCACTCTAGTCTTAGCGCCACTGGTTCACTCTTCGGGTGCCGCCGTTCGGCCTTCAGGGCCACCCTCCTTGATGGACACCTTCGTTGGGGAAGTCCCGCGAGGGCTCGCCAGGGCTTGCATTGGTTTGGACCACATGTGGGCCCCGCGATTTCTACCTCACCTCGGTCTCCATTCCTGCAATACTAGAAACACCGAAGGTTCCGAACTTAGGCGAGGGTTAGGCGTGGGGCGTCATGGAAGCATTCCCCCCCAATAGTTAACATCATTCGAAATCTTTATGGGATGATCATACACCAAAATCTTGTTGTCATGCAAGTTTGTAGAATTTCCTAACCAAGTTTTGATATTACTACATTTATTTTATGGTAATTCCATAGAATAATTTCAATAATAACATAATTTGGTCAAAAAATCTATAATTGACACAACAACATATTTTGTCTCTATAAGAATTCCATGAAAATCTAAAACAATTTTAATAAAGTAGGACAATACTTCATTCACAAATAGATACATATCTCACATAGTTTCATATAACTATGTGGGAGAGGTACCACTTGTGAACAATGTATATTACAAATTTGATAAAATTATTTGAAATTTTGATGGAATGATTATACACCAAAAACATGTTGTCATGCAAGTTTGTAGAATTTTTTAACCAAATTTAGATATCGTTACAATTTTTATATGGTAATTACAAAAAATATGAGAACTTCAAACTGAATTTTGAGATAATAAATGATTTCAAATGAAAGTGTCAACATCTACAAAGTCGTAGAACTCATCACGGTCTGTAACTTTTGTTTTGATCATTTCTCCATCTGAGTTCATGTGAACAGTTTAAAAAATTTGAATATCAAAATATGAAACTTTCAAACAGATTTTTGGCACTATGAATGATTTCAAATGGAAATGTTTTCAGCTACAAAGTTGTAGGTCTCATCAGGATCTACAATTCTTGTTTTAGTCATTTCTTCATTCGAGTTCATTTGAACAGTTAAAAATTGAATTTCAAAACTTGAACAGTTCGCTCACTTCTGGTCTTTAAAACAATTAATTTTGTGATTACTAAACAGAACATCCCTTGTAGCTCAATGGTTAATCGCGGTAACTGGAGAGGCCAGTGTTCGATCCTTGATTGTTGGTATGCAGAAAGATTTTTTTTTTTTCATTTTCTCTAGTGGCTGCACTCGTCTAGCCATTGATGCCCATTGATAAAATATATTGTACACGTTTAGCCATGAAACAGATTATGGCCTAGTGGTTATGCTGCTGCCTTCCACTACCTTTGGTGCAGGTTCGCCTTGCATGGCGCATTTCTCCTACTATTTTTTGTTTTTTTTTTGGTTGTACTATGGTTGGTTTGCAAATATTTTACTGATGAAAAATAGCAATCAGTTCTAAATTTTGTAAACTGCTACACGTCGAGTTTTAGGGTAGCTTTTGTCTTCTTCTTATATAATAAGAGAGTCTATCATTTGTCTTCTTATTTGTACAGGCAAGATGGGACTATTGCTTCTCCTTTTAGTGAGCAGAGCGCACTAGCAGGCAAGCAACGTTGCAGCTGCTGCTGTAGCTAACAAGTTGTTTTTTGAGCAACTGCTATAGCTAACAAGTGCCATGCCGCTATGCAAATTGGGCGGGCCCAAAATTAGATAGCTGCCGTGTGCTCTCCTGGTGAACGTGAGCGTCAGTTCTTTTTATCAAAAAATCCTACTGGTGTAATGCCGTTCTGTACTTACATGGAAACTAAAAAAAAATATATTCCATATTCTATTGTCCAACGACACAAGCTTCCGTTAATTCCAACTTACACCTGGAGTACAAGGCATCACCATGCGACTAAAGCACTCAATTATACTAATATAATATATGATAGACTGGATTTAAAAAACCCATGGCTCTACAGGTTTAGATACTACACCCCTAGATCCATGCCTGCAAACCCATTGAGACTGGCTATTTGCCCATTAGCAAACACATGAGTAGAAAAGTTCACCCATACCGCCCTTACCCAAATAGGGTAAAAACCCAACGGGTTTCAAGTTCCGGGTACCTGTTGCCATCTCTAAACTTGTGGTGCTATTTGCGTTGCAACTTGCTAATTATTTTGATAAACTTTTGAATATTTTTTTGGAGCTAATTATTTAAGAGATTTTTTAAAATTTATGTAGACCAGTAGCCCACATAGGATAACAAGATATTTTTAAAATAATAATTTTATATTTTATGACGATCAAATATTGTCATCGATCTGTCGTCACAAAACCCATGCAGAATATACTTTGACAATATTAATGACGAAGACACAGTTTAGTCATAAACAATTGTCATCCTGTGAACAGTCGTCATAAACAGCCTCTGTTTGTGACAAATAGGTGCTCTGTCATCTACCAGCCGTCATAGAAGCCCATATTTCTTGTAGTATACGGGCTCACTGGCGGCCTTGTCTTTTTTAATCCATTTCTAGTCTAGAGACAGGCATCATAACCGTCTCTAGAAAAGCTCATTAGCAGTGACCATGATCCGTCTACCCACCTCTTGAAACATTTTTCGACCGCCTCTAAAAAATCTTATGTTGTAGTGTTACTGGGCCATCTAGTTGTTTTTCTTTTCTCTCGTCAAGGGGGTCGTTGTTTTCTTCCCATCTCTCTGTTGGTGTAACCGTGTGAGCAGTGGATTGAGTATGGTTGTGTGGGTGGGCACCCTAAGAAGCAGGATTGTAGTTTGAAGTTGTATCTAGTTCTTTTTCTTCTACTAATATAAATTCAGCAAATCTCTTGTCATCCTTTCAAAGAAAAAAATTATGAAGGAGTATATAATCGATTTCAGACCGGTTGGTCGACGCTTCATGCGGCGCCTCTCAGGTCTTGAGTTCGATCCCCCTCGGGGGCGAATTTCAGGCCTGAGGGTAAAAAATTCCCTCGTCTGTCCCACGCCAAAGTATAGGTCTGTGGTCGTTCCATCTTACGGGGATGCGGTGCTGCTGTATATGAGTGAGGCCTGGGTTCAGGGGATTTTCTCGATCTGCGTAAAAAGATTTTCTTCTTAATGAAAAACCCGGTGGAACATCGTCTCCCCGTGGATCGAGTTTTTTTTTATAATCGATTTCAACCTCTTATATAAGGAAGATAGAATCAAGACTTAGATGGGTCCATCGGTGTTGAGTTAATTTCCGCTGTTAACAGGGCACCTACCAGAATCGAAGTTTAAAGTGATACACTGATAGGAGAATTATATCTTGTCCCTTGAATCGTAGTTCAGCTGTTTCATTGGTTCATTCAGGTCAATTCAGTCTTCATACAGCAAGGTTTTGCGTGCTCGTTTGAACAAACTCCACGTGCACCTCCTAGTCTTCCCTTGCCAGGACTCAGAAGCAGTCTTGCCAGTGGGCAGCGAGACAGCACTGCTGGACCACCTGGTGCGTGATGCTTGGAAAGGGCAACCTATAAACCACACAGATGCCGCACGCCGTTTAATCTTCGGCGTTCACGTGGGGCTCTTGGAGCCCTGAATGATACTTGCCTTGACGCCTCCTACTCCCAAACGTATGCCTACTTTTTTGTCATGCATTTTGCTGTATTGGATAAACTTATCAAATGACAAGACTATGGATCAGACTGCAACCATCGTCTCTTTATATACTCATGTGGATAAAGAAATAGTATGACTACTGACAACGCTTTGCATGCCTCTTTATATATGTATGTTCCCACATTTAATTATATGCCTCCTCTCTTGTTGGCATAGTTCATCACTTAAATACACACATCCATGCCTGTACTAGTTAGTCTGTTGTGTGCATCGGACTAACCTTCCTTACTCTGTATAGATAAGCACTGTGATCTCTCCACTCTATCTAAGTTTTATATAGGTATTTGGTTCGAGGAATGAAATAGTCCATCATCGTCTCACTACTTTTTTTTTGTTTGGTTTGCAGAATAAATAAATTGATGCGTTCCTCACAAGTTAATAACTAGTATTAGTATGAGAAAGAG